AATAAATGATATTGTGTTAGGAGTTTATCTAACACAATGTTACTATACGGCAACGATATTAATATAATTTTTTAATGAATTGTTAATTCTCGAATATAGTTTCATTTGGTTGTTATTAGTATTCATTCAACATAATGTTGCTATCATAACAGATTGAGACTCTTGGGATCTACTCTCATGATCTCAATGAACGTCCCTCTGCATCACGCGATGTCGCTCAGTTCATCTGTAAGATGACTCATCTGAAGGACCTGACTCTCATGGGTCAGTGTCACGATGACTTCTACTCAACATCGTCATCGATGGCATTATCCGCAAAGGTACTGATTTGATCATATTTTGTTGGACTCTTAGCAAATCAGTACATGTTTTTCTTATACTGTTGGAGCACTTTGTTCTATATAGTCAAACGCAAGTGTACAATTTTACTCTCCCTATTGGAACACCGTTAAGGAGAAGCAGGCAGAAAAAGTTGATCGCTTCAGTAAGTGGATGTTAAAAGTGAACTTTTTGTCATAATACAAAAACAGAGTGAAGATTATATGATTGATAGTGAATAATATTTACCATTTTTTCATTTCATATGACGATTCGAAGTGCTACGGAATTGCTGATGGAGAGACGGCTTTTTCAATTGTGAATACTGATGAGACTAAATAGTTTAATTTAAAAACCTACAAAATGAAAAATCGAATCTCTTGGTTCCCGTTTGTATTATTTCTGTAATCCTTTGGAAACTGCAAAGTGTTCCATATACATTTTATTTCACACTTTTGTGTTATTTAAAATTCATTTTTCAAAGTGCTTTTTAAATCAAATGTCAGAATAACGTAGAGCTTGTGTAAATGAATGAGGAAGTCTACTGTAGCATGATGCAATGTATATAGGTCTCAAAGGAATTCAGGAACTATTGCAACTAGTAATCATTTCAGATGTCAAGATTTAAACATCATTAAACACAATAAATGCCATTGTGTTAAGACTTTTTTTTTTAATTTTGGCAACGATATTAATATATATCAAACATACTGTTGATTTTTTATTATAGTTTTATTTGGTTGTTATTAACATTCATTCAACAAAATGTTGCTATCAAAACAGATTGAGAATCTTAAGCTCAACTATTTGAGTCTCAATGAACGTCCCTCTGCATCACATGATCTCGCTCAGTTCATCTGTAAGATGACTCATCTGAAGGACCTGACACTCAAGGGTCAGTATCACGATGACTTCTACTCAACATCGTCATCGATGGCATCATCGGCAAAGGTATTGATTTGATCATATATTGTTGGACTCTTAACAAATCACTACATATGTTGTTATACTGGAGGTGCACTCTCTCCTATATAGTCGAACGAAATTGTACGATTTTACTGTTTAAAGTACTACACCGTGAAAAGGAAGCAGGTAGGAAAAGCTGAAAGTTTCGGGAAGTTGATGCGAAAAGTAAACTTTCTGTCAAATACAAAAACAGACAAACGTAATATTAAAGATTGATAGTAAAAACAATATTTTTCACAGCTATACTTCATCCAAATATATTAAAAAATGGCAATGGATGGCTTCTATGATGAACAAGAATTGATCACTTTTATTAGTTCTTTCAAAACTATATGTAGGAGGGGCTGTTGAAATGTCAACATTACGCATAACATTGTATCAATGCAGCCAGGTTAAACTTGTGATAATCCATATAAAAATATACACCAAGGGCCTGTAATAAGTTTGCACGACAGATTGAGACCCATTTCATTGGAGATGTGTTTCTCAGAGGATAATTGATAATAATTAAAATATTAATAATAACTATAATAGTAATAATAATAATAATCGAATTCAAACAGCTCCTTTTCCAGAGTTTACAAGACGCTGTGTGTCAGCAATGATACATGTATCCTCTGGCACCACGTGATCACTCCACGGGGTGAATAATGGCGGATCGAGAATAGGGACAAACGCCCCCCTCCCCCTCCTTCGGCAAAACCCTATCTGGCATAATTATACAAAATAAGAATGGGTCCTTAATTATGCAATTTACCCCCCCCCCTCCCCACCCACAACGGCACTTAAATGTCAAAAGCCTTGCTTTTTCTCTCCATCTTACTATGTATCGAATATTTAGAAAAGATAAATACAAAACTCCATAGCGCTTACAAAGAAATAAACTCAAAGTAAATAGACTGATTAAATTACGAAGGAAAGACTTTTTTTCCTCTTCAGAGGTATTTATTCGGTTATAAAATACACTTAACAACAAAATAATTGAAACAGAAAAATACATTCACTTTACACCTCATCTTTTGAGATCTTTACAATCAGATAAAATCAAGGGCTATAATGTTGAAGGGCATTTGATATAACATCTGAGATGTTACCCAAGCACAGTTCATTTTTAAAAACATGCCATATTGCAAGACTGTTGTAAGTTTTCCCTTGGAAATAGTTTAACATGTACATTTTATATATTGCCTATTGTGCATATGTAATAATTACATTTATATCTTTAGTGTTGGAACAATTAGAATCTGCACCAACAATCAGGTATTTTTCGTTTATTATCAGTGTTTCCTTGAAGTTGCAACGAATAAATGCAACAACGCGTTTCCAGAAGAATATTGGGGGATTCTAAAAGAACATGAACAAACGATTCAGTTGTTTTGCAAAAAGCACACAAGTTCTCATTTACATAAATTATATCTGAACGGTAAAATTCGATGAAGTGTTTTAAAATTTACTTGCTTTACTTTATTGTTTTTATTGTTTTAAACTTAAATTTCAGTATCTCTTTCCAGTAAAAATCAATTGGAAGGTTAAATTTTTCTTCTCAGTATGTTAATACAGCTAGATTACTTTTCCTGCGCTCACTCATTAAACTATAGAAATTTTTTGATTTCATTGTTGACAATCTAATGACATCACATGTTTTAATTTCGTAGAAATCATTGTACCTCTATTGTCATCATCATGCTGGTTGACTTCATGAATTCGTTTTATCCAAACTTTAGGGATCACCTTTTTGAGCTTCGTATACATAAAGTCAACCAATAAAGAATTCGAACCAAGCACATTACAAATATGATCTCGTGTCTTAAAATGTCGATTTTCTGCAATATCATCAACTAGTACAATACCATTTGTAAACCATTCTTTAAAAAATAAGGTTCTACTATCAAATATTATGATACAATTGGACCATAACACCTCATTTCTAACATTTGCAACATGCAAAAAGTCAATATATTTAAGTTCACTCCAGCATAAGAGACGATTAACATAAAACTCAGGTAGATTGTGTTTTGAACATAAAAGCATCATATCTTTGCGAGAACAATTCGATTTTAAAACCAATGACAATGGACATATATTTTCAATCCAGAATTTAAACATAAATTTCCATTGTGTATCCTGGTTATTTTCAAAAAACTTCGATAACCATGTTAAATGCAGGGATTGGAACTTGGAATGCAAGTCTATCATACCTAGACCTGCAGTTTCATTGTATTTATTAAGACTGATCTCTTTATCTTGTCTCTTTTTTAATTCCAAAGGAAATTATAAATCAATTTGTTAACAATTAGTTTGTGAGGAATGGGTAATACTGAGGCAACATACACAAATTGAGATATTATAAATGATTTAATTATAACAACTTTACCATAAATGGTTAAATTTCTCATCTTCCAGAAATTTAGAATCGATTTAACCTTTTCAAGTTTCACATACCAACTCAGTCGATCACATTCGTTTTTGTTTCTATTTAGATATATACCTAAATACTTGACTGGATATTATTCCATCTTAAATCTTGTATAAACTCTATCGAAGGAAATACGTACTTTTGGTTGCTGGTCAGATAATTAAAGCCCCTCTGAAGTGTTGGGGGTCCCAAAAATTGGATGGAAAGATTTCACCTAAATTGTGCCATGATTTAAAAGAGGATTTCATCAATATTGATGAAAGAATACAACATTTTTTGTGGGGGGGGGGGAATCTTTGCCGAAATTTGTCTTAAATGACGTCCTATAATCTAAGTGAAATTTTGCCATCACATTTTTGGCGAATTTGTGGCTCCCAACACTTTCAATTCAATTCAAATCATTTATTTCACAATTCCAACCTCAATTCAAACACTGTGTAAAAAAAAAAAGAGTCAAAGGGCAATAAAAAACTTTGTAAAACTACTACATTTCAATCAAACGATAAAGAAGATAAAAAACAGAACAAATATAATACATAATTCAGTATGAAGAGGGGCTTTAAAGAATACGAGGGCATTTGAGAAATATAATGACCCCCTCCCCCTTTTGTTGTTGTTGTTGATCTGATCTGCCACTGCATTACCAAGCCCTACAAATAATCATCTTTATTTGTTATAGCTTTATCTGCTTTATTGACATTAATTAAAACTTTCAATCGTTAGTCATTAACATTCAACTAAAGCGAAATGTTTTCCAAAGGGATTAAAAAGAAGAAAAAACCCCGAAATGTGACACTTGTAAAGGGATAGGAATAACATGTAACTCTATCATTAGTGAAAGAAAAGGCAGTACAAATTGCGTTAATAAATATAACCATATTCTTATTCTCAGATGTTATAATGCATTTGGGTGTTTAAATGAATTGTTATTTCATACAAATCATGTAAAACATGCATCATCATTTCGACAAGATCATAATGGCAATAGACCGCCGGGTGAGCCTCAAAATTCGTCAGTTTCGTGACCTCGGCTCGGCATCTACTTTCTAAATAGTGGATATTATTGAAGAATATATTTTGATATTATATTCACAACTCGTCAATCGAAAACGTTGCATATAAGCTCAAAAAGTGGAAAAAAGGTGCTTAAAATCTTTTTTTTTTTCACGGAGGTTGTCCAATCACTGTGCATGTATCAAGTAACGGTTACAGCGCCTCAAGCTTTTTAGCCAATCACAGGCAGTGTTGTGCACGTAGCACTGGCGCGCGCTATTTCGAGCTTCCGGTGTAGTATCATGTGTGTAGTATCATGTCGTCAACAACTGAAAGTTCTACGGATGATTCAGAGGAAAACACAGGTTTTTGCTGTATGCATACAATTTCGACTCACAGTAAGGTAATATCTTTTAGTGGCAAGAGTTACAGAAAATTCAAGGAATGTGTAGATCTTTGGAAGAACGTCAGTTTTGGGTTTGAACTAGAAAAAAAAGTTGCTGCGAATGCGGTCAACCTCAACTTCGACTCGTTCGAGCAGCAGACAGAGCAGGACTCGTCCGGCGCCTCGGGCGGAGGAGTGTACCATGGAGGTGTTCGAACTGCAACAAGTTCAACAAAGAAGAGGTACGTCATTCCGAAGAAATGATTGTAGATCTATTAGCTATTTTAGCATGTTTAGAATAACTCTGATCCTATTTATGTCTATTCAAAGGCCCTAACGTTACTACTAGAATCGAACAAAAGAGAGTCAAGACTAGACCGCTACTCAGGTAGTTTTAGTAATTTCTACTTTCTAAACAAATTCTGGGCTCTCGAAATTGAGGTTTAGCTAGCAAAAAAATTAACAAGTGGTTGACCAAGTCAAATTGGATACTGGTCAGGCTTGATTCTCTACTACAGTACAGTACAGGTCTTTATAATTAATTTGGGTGTTGATTGTCCACATATCGATTATTGTCTGAGAGTGAGAGTAAGAACAGCGTAGGTCTACTGGATAACTGGTGGGTTTTTTTTGGTGGGGGGGGGGGGGGCTACTGTCCCCCTAAATTTCCACACTCAAATTGGTTTATTTTTCTTCTTTTTCTTTGCATGTGGGAAAAAACTCTCTGCATAGTCCCCCACAATATTTGACACATGATTAAGTGCGCCACTTGTGTCGGAGAATGAGCCTTGCCCTTGCCCTGCCCCTGGTGATCTTTTTATTCATGATGAAAAATGTATTACATTACCGTGTGCCCTCCATGCCCTCCAAAAAAAGTATACACTTCATAAAAATATGCAACACCTCCTTATGTTTTTTAATAAGCAGTTCTGAATAATCTTCCACTGTCACTGATGTCCAGTCCGTTCACTTCCAGTTGGAGACAGTAACCAGTCAGCACATATATTTTTTCAATTTGATGAAATTATTTGATAATTATTTGCTAGATTTGACTCGTACTCTAGGTTTTGTATTGATGAATACTTCAGTCTGTCTGTCTCGTAGAACTACATGTATAGACCTATTATTTTTTAATAAATGATATTAAATGAGCCTTGCTTTTATTTATTTTCAATAAAGGTGTGTTCAACCAGGATACCATGCGGGCTGCTACAGGCACTTCTGCAACATTACAACAATCAAGCGAGCACAGATCAAGGCAAAGAAGAAACAAGGTACGCTACATATATAGCAATAGTGGGAAAATGTATTTTTATTATTAATAAAAGTTGTAAACAAATTGTTCTGTAAAGAATAAAATATATATAAACATATATATGTATTTAACAGTTGTGGGTGGTTATTAGTCAACTTCACATGCATGCTAAGATTCTCTTTCCATGCATGCCTTGATATCAGTATTTTCCCTGCATGGCATTGAATACATGTACATGTACATCAACATTTGTCTCCTGAAATTGAATGTATACCTTTAAACACTGGCCAGTTTTGTTCAGAATAATGAGTCGTATTTGAAAGAGAAAATGAGACAGACTCTAAGCTCTGACAACTTAAAGAGGTAGCAAATGGAAGTCTTACAGAATGCTTTAACATTTTGTATTGCATAAATGGAAAGTATTAGTAATGTGTTAATGCATATTTGCTTTTTACTTCGTTCCTTTCTTGTAGATCAGCAATATGCTTCAGAGCTTGAAGAGCCAGGAACCTCTCAGGATGAAGTATTCCTCCCGCCTCCTACACGCCTTCTACGATCAGATGTGGGTACCCCAACTACTGCGATTCCTGGTAGGAGACACGTTCTACCAGTTCAGTGCCTAATCTGTCAGCGCACAAAATATATCACAGAGCGTTCCTCGGAAAAGAGGAGAATTGAGCACCTTGTAAGATGCGAAACTAAAAAAGGGGGGCAACTGGTAGCAGCTGCTGAACTTCGTAAAGACCAGCGTATACTTTTGCAAGTCCGGGACAAGGACCTTGTTGCTGTTGAAGCAAGATACCATAAGTCTTGCTATATGTGGTACACTAAGGTTACACGTACACCTAAGTCATTTGATGTAGAGGAAAGTGTCCAGTTGTATGATAAGTCATATCCTGTATTTTGCATCATTGTTGAAGATAGGCTTATCAAGGGCAAGGAGATACTAAGGCTGACGAAGCTACTCAAGCTCTTCGTAAAGACCGTTCAGGAAGTTGAAGACAAAGATGCGTCTGCCTACAAGAGTGGGTATCTGAAGCGAAGACTACAGAAATCACACCCGATGTTAAATTTCAGCAGACCAACACGACAGTGTGAGAGCGAATTTGTATATGTGGACACGCTTGGAGTAGAAGATATGGTTGAAGATGTTGTTAGAGACATGTCAAGTGAGGAGAGCAGCGGGACAAGTGACACCAGTGATTTGCCAACATGTACACCAAGTGTTCAATCAGATTCTCTGAGAACTCTCTATCGTGCTGCTCAGGTTTTGAAAACCTCAATGGATGGGATTGAGATGAATTCACCATGGCCTCCAACCTCGGCTAATTTGAGCTTGGAAAAAGCAAGAGAAGTAATCCCACTGCAACTTTTTAACTTCCTTGCGTGGAGTACAGGACTTAGTGACAATCCAACATTGACTCAGAATGTTGATGTTTCTGATGAAGAGGAAAGGAGGCTTCTGTCCATATCTCAGGACATGGTGTACTTGAAGTCAAAGGCTCGTGTTCTCATGCCGAAGCATTCTTCCTTGGCCATGGCAGTGCGACATCTTACTGGTTCTGCAAAACTTATAGGTATTCTGAATGGCTTAGGGCACTGCATATCAACCACTACTGTCTTGGAGCATGATACGGCTCTTGCCAAACGTCAGCTTGTTCTCGGAAATCAGCTTCTACCAGCTGGAACACAGCCAATCTTCACAACACTTGTCTTCGATAACAATGACTTTGGAGAAGAGACAGTCTCAGGAAAGGGAACTACACATAATACCAATGGCATTATTATCCAAAGGCCAACAGTGAGTGATAACGGCTGTGTTGCTCCATCCATCAATCTGCCCAAATCTCGTGAGACTTCGTTTGAGGCTCCAGTTACTGACATCAAGAAATACTTTGGGAGCAAGAAGAAAGGGCCTGAACCATTCGGTGGAGATGTTTCTCTCGACGCAGAGCAGTATGCAGCTGCACAGGTGCATCCACGCAACCTAGATCTGTCATATATCCTGATGAAATGTGCAAATATTTCAGATAAGCTTCTTCCAAGCTGGACTGGCTTCAATGTCATGCTGGATAAGACTGTTCCACCCAAATCAACAGTTGGGTACCTACCAATAATAGACGCCAGCCCTACAGAATATGACACAGTCTACACAATCATGGAGAGAAGTCTTGAAATAGCAGACAGTCTTGGACAGAAGGAAGTGGTAGTTGTCTTTGACCAGGCAATTTACGCAAAAGCCCAACAAATCCGATGGAGAAACAAAACATTCCTCGATCGCATTATCATCCGCCTTGGTGCATTTCATACCACTCTTGCGATGTTAGCATGCATCGGCAAGAGATTCCGTGATGCTGGATTGGAGAACATCATGATAGAATCTGGAATTGTGGCCCAAGGTTCGATAAATGGTGTCATGAATGGCCACCATTACAATCGCAGTATTCGTGCACACAAGTGCGTAATGGAAGCAATGCAGCGCATTCGTTGGGAGTTATACCTGAATACACTATCTGCTGGGGAGCGAGAAGTAGTGGAAGATACCATGCAGGAGCTTCTCCAATCTTTTCCAGGACCAGCATTTGAGGAGAACGTGAAGTCTGACCGATTTTGTAACATTGCTGACTTGTACCAGAAGTTTGTCTCGGATCAAAGTGCCAAGGAACCAACATTTGCTGTGTGGTCTTCATACATTGAGATGGTGGAGAGTTTGCTGCTCTTGGTGCGTGCAACAAGGGAAGGAGATTGGAATTTGCACCTGTCTTCTATAAGAAGCTTTCTCCCTTGGTTCTTTGCCTACAATCACACTAACTATGCTAGATACCTCCCAGCATATTGGATTGAAATGTGCCAGCTACCAAGCAGCCATCCTTCTGTTTATCAAGCCCTTGCACAAGGAGATTTTGCAGTCCAACGTCAGAATGATTATGGTTTCTCTCAAGTTGCTTGTGACCAAACTATCGAGCAAACCTGCAACAGGGACACGAAGACAAAGGGAGGAATGGTCGGATTCACAACCAACAAGAGAGCTGTTTCCCGTTGGATCTTGTCCCAGCATGAGAGAAGTGCCATAAGCAAAGAATGTGAGAACATGGCAGGTAGGGATGAGAGATCCCACATCAAAAGAGAAGTACAACAGGCACATATGGGGAAAAGTGAGAAGGATGTTTGTGCCATCATAGAGACCATTGAATCCATGGTTAATCCCTTTGAAGAGGGCGATGAACAGCTTCTTCACATTGCATCTGGAGCTGTTGCTTCATCTGACGTAACAAGTGACTATTTGGAGGCTCATGAGAGGGGAGATGTGGCATTCACAACTTATTGTAAGGAACGCTTACAAGGAGAAGGGGATATGTTTGCTGTCCTCAAGAAACAGAAGACCAAGACGTTTGCATCAATGAGTAAATCTTCCAAGTCCAAGGTGAAAGATAAAGAGGTTATCATAAAGGCTGACAGAAATCTCTTCCAAAGATTGATGATCATCGCTGGGGCACGGAAGCTGGACATCAAACATATGCTAACACACAATCTTGGTCCACTGCCTTTGTCTCTGGCAAATGTTGACGGCACACTTAACAAGACAATGAAGGCAAACCTTATGCATTTCATCGAGGACTCTGTTAAGCCATCACCTGTCACTGAAGGGGTTCCTCATGGAAGTACATGGATCATTGATGGAATGGCCTTGCTACAGGAACTTCCCCATCAGAAAGTACCGTCAACCTTTGGATTGCTTGCCGATTACCTGCTAACAGAATTGGTGAAGATTGCCAAATCTGTTCACAGTGATGTAGTGCATTTTGTCGTTGATACATATCGGCAACTTAGTATCAAGAGTGGAGAAAGAGGACGACGAGCTGCTGCTGGAAGCCAAGTAACAAAGATTTATTCAGAAGAGCAGAAAGTCCCACAACAGTGGAAGAAGTTCCTGTCGTGTAATGACAACAAAGTGGCACTAATACAGTTTCTCTTTAAGACCTGGAGTCGACGTCCATCTCATGTTCTAATGGGTGTTTGCATTGTGTTAGCACATGATGACAAGTGCCATTCTCTTTGTGATCTTGAAGGAGAAATGGAGGTGAAAGCTGTACAGGAGCTGGAGTGCAATCACGAAGAGGCAGACACAAGACTTTTTCTTCACTGCCAGTATGCTGCCAGCCGTCTTCCCTCAGCAAGCACATCAGACACAAGCTCTTCCTCTGCTGTTGTCATCAAGAGTCCAGACACAGATGTCTTCGTAATCGGTATTGCTAAAGCGAAGGAAATCAACTCAACTATACTCATGTACACTGGTAGAGGTAGCAACAAGCGCACCATCAACTTGACCGCTATTCACACTCATCTAGGGCAGAGTATGAGTGATGCTCTCATTGGCCTTCATTGTTCCACAGGGTGTGATTCCGTTAGTTCCTTTTATGGAAAATCGAAGAAGAGAGCAATGCAACTTGTGATGGACAGTGACAGCTTGCAGGAAACATTCAGGAAAATTGGCAGTTCTTTTACTGTTGAGGCCAATGTTTTTCATGAAATGGAAGTGTTTGTATGTAAGCTCTATGGACAAAGCTGTTCCGACGTTAACGTAGCTCGACACAATCTTTTTCTCATGGCTACTAAGGCCGAGTCTAGTATGCCTCCAACAAGTGATGCTTTGCGGAAGCATGTGCTAAGATCCAATTATCAGGCTGCCGTCCACACCAGATGTCTGGAGCAGTTTCCAGACATTCCTAGTCCAGATGGACATGGATGGAAGGTAAATGTCACAGAGCTAGAAGTAGTGTGGGGGGATCTCCCAGCAGCCCCAAAAGCTCTGCTCGAACTAACTCACTGTGGCTGCAGAAAGACAAGTTGTGTCGAGCAGCAAAAGACTCGTTGTTCCTGCAGGCAGCACAATATTCCATGCACAGATCTCTGTAAATGTGTTGCCTGCAAAAACTCTGCCAAAGTAGACAGTAGTGGTGATGAGGATGACGAAGACTCTGATCACTGATCAGTTTGAATCTATTTAAGATACTTGTTCAGAATTATCTTTTTGTAACTCTGGGATTTTACTTGTGCATCCTTGTATATACATGTTATCTTTGAGAAGGTGTTTGCATGCAATCGCTGCTAGTTAATATCTCTGTACCAGAGTTTTTTGTGTGCATGTATAGAGTTGTGATTAAATTGTATAGTTTTTACCAAAAGTTTGATCATAATTATGGAAAATGTGTGATTCTCCAAAATTTCTATGGATTTTTTTCTGTTCATTTTCCTTCAAATTAATTACGATAGGCAGAATTACACCACAAACTTTATCGAGGTTCTGTTACTTGAAAATCTTTGTCAACATTTATTTTTCATTTCCGACTAGAAGTGTTATCATAAATATCAAGTCCAGTATCGCGATTGTTTGCATTTTGTACATTATTTCATTGCAAAAATTTCACCAGCACGTACATGTTTCTACACATGAAGAAATACATGTACATGTATAGTTTATTTAGCCATGACTCTAACTTCCAAAGAAAATAATGACAATTGGAAGACTCGTAAATTGGAAATATTTAACTCATTGTATGTCACATTACTTGTAAATGTTGAGCCTTTTTTTGGAAATTCAATGTAAACACTTTTCTTGGGATGCTCTATTTTGCCAATTTCCGCCAGATTTGATAAAGCAGAGAATTTTTATGAAATGGCATTTGGACAAATGTATGTATGTATGCTGGAAATTTTAAAGAACATGATTTAAATATATAATTAGACTGAAGAAGAATAGCAGAGGCTGCGACCCTGTCATCCATGAAAGTTTGTATTTTATTTACAATGTGTTTATTATGCTAAAACATTCATACATGAAGTAATGCTTTTTGATCAATTGCTTGAAAGAATGTTTGTTATTGAAAATATTACATGTAAATGTTGAGCCTTTTTTGGAAATTCAATGTAAAGACCTTTCTTGCGATGCTCTATTTTGCCAATTTCTGCCAGATTTGATAAAGCAGAGAATATTCATGAAATGGCATTTGGACAAATGTATGAGATTATCTGCTGGAAATTGTAAAGGACATGATTTTAATATACATGTTCATGTATATATTAGACCGATGAAGAATATCAGAGGCTGCGACCCTGTCATTCATGAAATTTTTAATTTTGTTATTACAATGTATATTTTATGTGTATTTTTTGCTAAAACATTCACACATGTAGTAACGCTTTTTGACCAATCGTTTGAAAGAATGTTTGTTATTGAAAATATTACTTGTAAGTGTTAAGCCTTTTTTGGAACATTCAATGTAAAGACCTTTCTTGCGATGCTCTATTTTGCCAATTTCTGCCAGATTCGATAAAGCAGAGAATATTCATGAAATGGCATTTGGACAAATGTATGAGATTATCTGCTGGAAATTTTAAAGAACATGATTTTAATATATAATTAGACTGAAGAAGAATAGCAGAGGCTGCGACCCTGTCATCCATGAATATATTTTGTATTTACAATGTATATTTTATGTTTTTTTTGCTGAAACATACATACCTGTACATGTCGTAACGCTTTTCAAGCAATCGCTTGAAAGAATGTTTGTTATTGAAAATATTACTTGTAAATGTTGAGCCTTTTTTGGAACATTCAATGTAAAGACCTTTCTTGCGATGCTCTATTTTGCCAATTTCTGCCAGATTCGATAAAGCAGAGAATATTCATGAAATGGCATTTGGTCAAATGTATGAAATTATCTGCTAGAAATTTTAAAGAACATGATTTTAGTATATATATTAGACTGAAGAAGAATAGCAGAGGCTGCGACCCTGTCATCCATGAATATATTTTGTGTTTACAATGTATATTTTATGTGTATTTTGCTGAAACATACATACATGTCGTAACACTTTTTCGAGCAATCGCTTGAAAGAATGTTTGTTATTGAAAATATTTTAATGTGAATTGACAATGTGTTGTATAACTGATGATGAATCATTCTCTACATCAACCCGAAGAGCAGTATCCATGTAGTCAAGCAGGCTTACATGTAATTATTATTATTGACCATGTATTTTGAGAATGAGATAGTAATATGTCATATATTTGATGTGAAACCAGATTATACTTGGTCAAACATACCTTACAAACTTTGTTTTAAATTATGATTTATTTTATTTAAAGATATGCCATTCTCTGAAATATATATATATATATATATTTAATGTAATGAAATAGAAAGAGATAGAAGTGGGAAAGAGTGAGAGGGGAGAGGGATTGGGAAAGAGTGAGAGGGAAGAGGGATTGGGAAAGAGAGAGGGGTGAAGGAAAGTAGAGAAAGGGAGGGAATATGAGGAAGAGAGAGAGAGGAGGTGAGGAAAGAGAGAAGGGGTGAGGAAAGAGAGAAGGGGATAGGAAAAGAAAGGTGAACGAGAAAAGAGGAAGAAAGGGACGAAGAGAGAAAGAGTGCTTAGAGGGGATATGAAAAGAAAGAGGGGAAAGGGAAGGAATGAGGAAAGATAGGGGTGAGGAAATGGGAATATTAATTTGGACTGCACTGCAGCTTTGCTCTATATCAATACAAGTCATTTCCCTATAGCATAACACACAGCTGTCTCAGACAGGACCCAAGAGGGCGTTTGTCATATTTATTAAAAATTGATTTGGACATTATTAATTTGTGTGCAGTTTTTTCTACTGACGAGTTGCACCATCATCTTCAGTATATTTTTCTACATATTAGAGGTCATTTTCAAGTAGATGCCGAGGATGGGTCACAAAACACAAAAACTAAGGCACTTTTGAGGGTTCACCCGGCGGTCTACAAGGAGCCAAAAGGTGTTTAATACACCCATTTAATGTCTTGTTTCGCCTATATTTTTCTTCAATGGGGGACACGGCCACTTCGCCCGCCTTCCTCACGATATGCCTATGCATTATAACACCTACAAATAAGAATCTGTTGGGACGAAACATTACTTCAAACGCTCAATTATATGGTGGTATATTAGTACCTGTGGACATGTTTCATATTAAATATCTGTTAATCCTGCAGTAAAATTTGACATCGGACATTCCTAAATGGCCCACTGTGCATCACAATTCAAGTACTATGATTAATTAACTCTTACTATATACATCGACAAAGGTTTAATGTACTAATCATGATATAACATTTGATTTTTTAAAAATCATTTTCAAAATTACTATTTCAGACTCTTATACATGTATGGCATGCCAGTTACATTTTATTGGAATATTGCATATACGGAGTACGAAATACTTGCATTTCATTTAACTGATTGTAAATTATTTAGAAGGTGTTCATCCTAATGTACGGCTAATTAGACTGGTCTTCGTTTCATTGAATCTATAAACTGTACTTGCCTTTAACATATTTCTATTGGGAAATTATGAATGATAAACATGTACAATAGTTGTAGTGCATGAAAGCAAACAAAAATTCTTATAACTTTGACTATCATGCAACTTATATTTGCATTTGCAAAAGCTTTGTCTAATTTGTTTGGCTCATGTCTTTTTGAAATCATTGTATATATTCTACAATACCCATGAGGCTAGCATAATCAATTTTTTTACGATTTGGGTTGCTTTTTACATGAAACATTACATATTTACCAACAATCGAACATACTACATGTGCTAGTGCACTTTGATTTCCTTTTTGTTATGTACATGATCACGGCCAGAGTTGTACCACGAGCCCCACCCTGACTGAGCTGACAGTGGATAGTAACACACTAAAAGGATGGCAGGATTCGATGTTTGATAGTGCGAAGAGGGTCACTATACAGGTATGGAGCAAGATCAACTATGACGTCATCCAGAGGATCCATCTACCAGGAGCAACAGAACTCACAATTCAAACACATGAGTTTGAACGTCGACCGGCTGGTTTGCATGAGGAGCCCACTTCACTACCCAATGCCATCCTGATGATCTCCCCTCAGCTCGTCAAGGTGACATTCAGGGATCTTAACATTGGTAACAGTAAGATGGAACTAATCTTACAAGCTTTCAGTTCACCACACAACCTCAAACATCTGAAGATTATCAGGTGAGACATTAGGTCATTTTGTTAAAAGAGCACTTTGATATGTTTCATTTCTTTAACCCCCCCCCCTCTCTCTCTCTCGTTCTCTCTCCCATCATTTTTCCTTTCCATAATACGCTCAGTCCCCCCCCCCCCCCGAAAAAAGTGTACACTATTTATATTAAGAATTTTCAAATTAAAAAAATAAATAGTACTTATCTTTCATATCTCAAAATAAACATAAATTTTTCCTCTTTAAGATGATTTGCAATTGGTTTCATACCATTCGCCCCATGAGTGAGATTAGTCATTTAACAATAGTCTATCGTGAAAGAAAATCGTAAAAATGGGGGTATTTGGTCTTTCAAATGTTGATGAGCATTTCCATCTTGTAGAATCACATTAAAACAATTACAAAAATCACTAGGAGCACGAAAGGAAAAATGCTGTATTCTGTCTATTTTGATACTGGTAGATTCATACGATGCGGTTCAGATGAGGGCGTGGATGATGTCATAATTGCTTGCAATAAAGATCAGGTCATGGAGGTGGAGGTGGAGCATGGCAAACCACGTGGGTAAGTCCTTCAAACTCTTACTTCCAGGCTTGCAGTGCTCTTTAAGGTACTACATGTCCCATTTGCATGTCAAACAAATGCAAAGGTTGAATTCCAATGGCATTTGAAAGACAATACTTATTAAAGACTTCCCTCAAAAAGAAAAGGTTTGAAAATGGCGTTTTGTGGGAAAATAACGACTATTAGTTGTCGAATCGACATAAGTGAATGCAATCACCTAAGTAATAGTCTGATTTTCAGACCCTGGTTGTAGAAGTATCCTTTCACATTAACAAAACGCTATAATAGACATACAAGTGTTAGTTACTGTGTTTAATTGTTTATCTCTGTTTTCATCGAGAATGAAAGGAACTGACATTATGTACCCCTCATATACAAATTACCTCAGAAAGAGCCCTCTCTATTCAGCCTCAAAACTTGTCAATAACCTACCGGCAAACATCCGATTAAAAATAGCCTGGCAACATTCGCACGTCTTATATCTCTCTCTTAAACAATACACCCCTCCATTGTTTCTGTTATCCAAGTAATTTTGTATTCATTTTGTTTGTTTTCATCTTAGTATGTTGTTATGATAATTTTTTGTGATTTCTTTTGTATAAAATTGTTGTATTCGTTTACTTGTTGTGTTCAATTGTTGTTCACGGCCTTGATAAAAAGCATCTTCTAGCTGATAGCAGGCTTTTTAACCGTGATTAAATAAATAGAATACAAAAAAAATACAAAAAAAATAGTCTCACATCAATTAATCTGGGCAAAATGTAACAAAGAGTTGACAAATGGCGTGCATGTAAATTAATATTCCTTTGGAAATGTGTAGTCATAAATGTTCAAGGGTGCCTATTGCATAATTGGCTTAGGTTACTGGATTAGCGAAGTGATAAACTAAAGTTATTTATACCATTTTTCATATTACATGTTGGCTTATTTCTTTAGATTATTCGCGCATATTTGTATTAAGACGTTTTCAACGTATTCATTATCACTGATTAACAGATTTTTCCCGTTTACATGTTGTAAAAGAAAATAAATTCAAAATTAAATTAGTAAGGATGATTCTGTTTGACGTAAAGCTGTGTGATATTCAATCTCTCTTCATTGCCCTCCGTTTACTGCTCTATATGATTATTTTTTAATGTAGCGCTGTTTGTATGTTGATGCACACATTTACACTTCTCTCTCTCTCTTTCTCTCTCTCTTTCTCTCTCTTTTTCTCTCTCTCTCTCTCTCTCTCTCTCTCTCTCGGCTTTCTCTCTCTCCCTCTCTCTCTCTCGGCTTTCTCTCTCTCTCACACTCTTTCTCTCTCTCTCCCCTCTCTCTCTCTCTCTCTCTCTCTCTCTCCATCGCTATAGTCTTAACTTTGCTTAATCATAGAAGTGGCACCACACTCGATCTGACGAATCAGACGGAGCAGACAACCTTTGCACACGAACAGGAAATATGGGCGGAAATGAAAAGTGCCTCAAACACATCATCAGATTTTTTTCTTTGGCAATTTTCATGCAATCGACTTTAATATTCATCCACTGAATCACGTTGACATTCATATGATTTAGACGGATGTGTATGCTTTACATCGGTATTGCAGCTTTCGTTAATTTGTTTAAGAAATTGTGATTTTGATTTCCCTTCAAAATGTCACTCTCAGTGTTCATTCATTTAATATACACAGGCAATATACTTTAAAGGGTGTTAGGCCTACTTGGATTAACACGGTGGAAATCTCAAAACTTGTAAAAGGGCCAAAATGTTGTAAAATATCATTGTTATTGTTTTTTTTAATACAGTAATATTTCTTTTCGAATTTGAATTGTTCAACTGGCAGTGCTTTACACGCCATATTTGCTATGTAGGTTTCAAACAAGGGCAGGAGTTTTAGGGTAAACCTTTTGGAGTAGTATCCACAGATAGGAAATGAAGGAATGTATCTAGTCATGTAGGCCTACATCGCCCTTCCAAAAAGGCCAATGAAGACCCTTTTAATTCACAAATAAAGCAATCTATATTTGTTTTATCCAATATCTCTTGTATATGAACTGTTGCATGTATCACATAAAAGGTTTCTTATGATTTTTGATTTTCATTTTGAAAGGGAAAACAATCTTGTCTGATATATTTGAGTTGCTCATTTTGTCTGTTGATAATTTGTAAATAACGTATCCAAATTGTATGTGCCCATACGAAGGAGGGTCTTTGCAACGCAAGTTATAAATTACTGACTAACTATAAATTAAGGCTGTATAAATGCATAAGAATTTGAAATATCCAATCAGCTATTTTTCTACAAGTTCATCTAGTGATTGTACACTATTACATGTAATGCAAGAACATTATTAAGAGTAAATCATGTGGCATTCAGCTTAACATTTTTGATATATTTCTGTATTTATGTAACTAATTGTTTATTGTATAGCGCACTGATATCACTAGTAATAGTAGTAGTAGTCGTTGCTTTTGTTGTTATTGTTGTGGTATTGTTGATGATGTGGTTGTTGCGGCGGTGTTACTATATAGTATTTGTATTAATTAGCATGATCTATTCCGTTGGGTATCAGCAAAATATTGTTAACTAGCGCCAAATATTGTTTACTGAAATTGAGTATTTTGTATATATTGATTAGATTATAAAGAATGGCGTACGTCGTTTATTTACAATTTAGTTCTATTTTGTTGCACGCATGACTAACTAACTATATATATATATATATTAGAAACCATTATCTTGAATTTAAACGTGATGAATTTTATTCATCCTCATTTATGTATTGTGATATAAAGTGACAAGAATGTTTGCATGACAATTTGAACGTAAATAATATAATGTGCCTTAAATTTGTTTACTGTATGTATCTATCTTTTCGTTTATTGCGTATATATGTTCCAATGTATATGTAGTTAGGTGTATTTCAATGAGCATGGCTATATTTGTTGTTGACATTAGTTTTCAGAATCCAATAATATTCTGCATTACCATGTACAGCGCAAAGGGATTTAACCGGCAGTATAATGCGCTGTATAAATATTTCCTTCTCTCTCTCAACCCTCTCTCTCTCTCTCTCACATGGTGCACCCGCAAGCCTACTGTATAAATATTTCCTTATTGTTATGTTGTTTAATGAAACCCCTACTGATCCAATAATTATATGATTTTGAACTTAGAAGTAGTCAGACGTTTGTCCACATCATTGAAATAAAATTAATTATACAAATGTTTAATTCAATTATTGTTACTCCAGTCTCTAATTCAGATATATAGGCCTATATAACCCCCTTCTCTATAGCTGTCTCTCTTTCTCTCTCCTCATTGTCGAGTTTTATCAATCATGAACCAGCGCAATTAACGTTCTTTTTTTAATTTACGGAATTTCCTTGCTTCTTTTTCCATCATTATCATAGAGGTGTCGTAGTCGAGTGGTTTCATCACTTGACTGGAAATGTATAAACATCTTGTGTTCGAGGCCCTGTACGACACTCATATCAATGAGCAAGGCATTTAATCTACATTACTCCTCCCCACCCAGGTGTTTTAAAATAGGTACCCGGTGAGGATGTAATAGTTAATGTGATTGGAATAGCATACTATGTACATTCACGTGAACAGTCGTCGCGCCGACTCGTGTTATGCTCTGTAGCTCATGGGATTTACCCCTGTATCCCACTGACTGTAGGTCATGTCTTATTCATTATCCCCATCGATCTTAAATCGATTGTTGTGGTATGCCTACATGTAATCTCTACAAGTTCTTGTTTGCATTCCTGATTATTTTAGTTTAAAACAATTTTGCTCACTACTCTGTTGTATGTTGTTACTGGATTTCTTTTCTTTATAAGGTAGACTAACTTGAATGTTGTTGGATGCGATCAGGTAAACGACTCACGTCTGCAAAGTGTAGAACATACCGCTATCTGAAATCCTTCATTCCCTTTTCCATGAGTGCGTGTAACAGCTCACATTGAATAACGATAATAATTGTATTTTTATTTATTTATTTATTCATTTCCTCTCATAGGGTGGATGGCCCTTTCAGCACAGCTGATTTTCAAAGGGGTCCACAAACATAAAAATAACAATAAATATACAGTGAATTATACAATAATATGTAAAACGTTGCAAATGCAAGAAGTAAGGCAATGAATATATACATGTATAGTCAAACAAATAAATATCTAACAGATTAAAGTACAAAACAAACAAGCAATAAGACAGTTGATTGCAGATATTCAACTAGGACGACAACAAGCATACGAGTAAAACTGTAAAACCGTTAACATAACACAAAAAACATCAAGGTAAACATAAGAATAAAAAAAAAAACACAAGACAGGAATAAGAGGATGGGTATAATATTTATCGTGTTTAAAAAACTATTTAAAAAAACAACAATAAAAAAAACTATAAAAAAAATATTTAATCAAAAAAAAAAAAATATATATATATATATATATATATATATCTATTTAAAACATAACCAATAGAATATCAAATTGAAGGTAAAAATTGTAAAAATTGTAAAAAGGGCAAGATAATGTTCAGTCTACATGAGTTCATTCAAATCAATGGTGCGAACAAAGGTAGCCAGTGTGTCTAAGGTTCGCGTTTCAAAAGAGAGGCAATTGAATAATTTGGAGCTATGATAAAAGAAACTTCTTCTCAAAAACTCGGTCTTAGGCTTTGGAAGCTGAATTTTATGATCGCTATTTCTTAAATTGTGTGGATTATGTCGTAATTCAACTCGTGAAGATAAGTACGTTGGAGTTAAGTCGTGCATTATCTTGAATAGCATGATTAAATTTCCTCTTGTCCATCTATCAACGATTGGGATTATCTTTGCTTGTTGGTAGATTTCTCGAGTTCTTTGCTCAAAAGGTGCCTTAACCATAATCCGTACAGCTCTATTCTGTAGAACACGTAGCTTATTTAATACGACTTGAGTAGCATTATTCCAAATTATAGAGCAGTAATCAAAGTGTGTTTGAATAATACTAAAGTATAGCATTCTAGCAGTACACAAGTCAACAATAGGTCTGACTTTACGGAAGAGAAATAAGCCTCGGACAACTTTTTTGCGTACATGGTCTATGTGCAGTTTCCAATTCAAACTAGGATCAAGAATTACGCCAAGATATTTACAACTATAAACTTCTTTCAGTGCATTGTTACCGATGTGTATATTAATATTTACATTATGAAACTGCTTTACTCGTTTATGGGATCCAATAAGCATATATTCAGTTTTGCTCATATTAAGTATCAGCCTGTTAGCATTCAGCCATAAAGTTACAGTATTTAAATCATCATTAACCTTGTTTGATACATCATTGGCACTATTGGAGGAATAATATATACACGTATCATCTGCAAATAATGATATTGATGAATGCTTCACCACATTTGCAATGTCATTTATGAATATTAGGAATAACATCGGCCCCAATATTGATCCTTGTGGGACTCCGCACTCTACTTTCCCAACAGATGATGTAATACCATTTACTTTGGTGACTTGTGTGCGCTCACTCAAATAGTTTTTGAACCAAGATGCACTATTTTGATCAAATCCGTACCATTCGAGTTTCTTTACGAGCAGATTGTGATCGACAGTATCAAACGCTTTCTTTAAATCCAACGCTACAAATGCGGTTACCAGACCGTTATCCATATTAGATAATAGATCTTCAGTAAGGTTCAAGAGGGCTGTTGCGGATGAATAGTTTTGGCGAAATCCAGATTGGTGACTGTACAACAACGAATTTTGTGTAAGATATTCAGTGACCTGTTCATGCACAATCCTTTCAATAACTTTAGATAGGATCGGGAGGATCGAGATCGGTCGGTAGTTTGACAATTCAAAAACATCCCCACTTTTGAATATGGGGATTACTACTGCAGTTTTCCATTCCTTCGGGATTACGCCACTGGTTAGAGACAAATTTATCAAGTGTGTCAATGGTGAGACAATGTAGGACATTGCCATTTTAATCATTTTAGCCGGTAAGTCATCCAAACCAGTGGCCTTATTTTCAGGAATATTTGTCAGCACTCTTTTTACATCTTCGATCAAAACAGCCTTAAATTCAAATGTTGTATCTGCCCTTTTTAAAAAGGAAGTAAAGTCACCATCTGAATTACAACCATCATGTAATGTTCGTGCAATACTGACAAAAAAATCATTAAAAATGTTAGCCATTTCATGATCGTTATTAATCGTTTCATCATTAAATTTAATACCAGGAATACGAGAGTTACTCCGTTTATTAGGGATCATACATCTAAGTGCTTTCCAAATCGCTGCACTATTACCTGCATTTTCCTTTATTTTATCTTGTAAGTACACCTTTTTTGAATTTCGCAATAATGTAGTAACACTATTTCTTAACTTCTTATAACTTTCCCATTCATCAACATTGCCAATGCGCTTAGCTTTCCTCTTCTGTTTATCTCTTTCTTTCATCATGTCCTTTATTTCTTTTGTTATCCATGGGACATTATTTTGTTTGACCCTCTTCGTCTTCATTGGGGCATGCTTATCAACAATCCTTTTAAACGTTGTTGCAAATGTACAATAAGATTCATCCACATCGTTTATATTGTGTACATCATTCCATGATTCATTTAACAATTCTCCTTGAAAATTATCAACATTCATTTTGTTAACATCACGAAAGGTGATATACTTATGTTCATTAACCCTAGTTCTGATGTTGCCCCACGAGGCTACGATCATGTAGTGATCACTCAAGCCAATCTGAACTACATCATTAAAGCTGACCTTTTCTTCGCTGGAGGTAATGATTAAGTCTATTGTACTACTAGAGTTACGAGTAATTCTAGTCGGTTTAGAGATTAGTTGCTTTAAGTGGTAATTTTCAAGCAAAGTCAAAAGCCGATTAGTATTGCAGCTTGGGTGAGAGTTCATGATATCACAATTTAAGTCACCCATCAACAAAACTTCGAGGCCAGTTAATTCAATGTCTTGTAGCAATTTTTCTAACTTATCAAAAACCTCCAACGAAGAATTAGGTGGTCTATACCATATACAAACAAGAAAAGGTTTTTGCTTTAGTGGATCAACCTGTAGTATGATCATTTCTAAGTCATCACAGCTTAAATCATTTCTCACTTTATATATTATACAATTCTTCACGTATGATATAACTCCTCCACCGTGTCTATTTCTATCTTTGCGTATCATTGAAAATCCGTCAATATTAATACAAGCATCTGGAATGGAGGAGTCAAGCATGGTTTCACTGAATGTCAGAATATCAAAATTGGCGTTCACAAATTTGCTTCTGATCTCATCAATACATTTATAGAGCGAACAAACATTTAAATGAATCAAGTGTAATCCATTCTGGAATTTCATCAAGTTCTGCATAGCATCAAAGTTCTTGTAAGTTGTGTTCAACTGTTCTTCTTGTACAGCTAAATGAGGATAATCTATATTTAGCTCGTCAGTGGGAGGGGTCTCGTGGTCTGTTACTACAAAACTTAAGCAATCGGGGTTGTTTGGTAACTCTTTAAACATGCACGGTGTGCACATCCAATCCTTCTGAGATAAGAACAATTCTCGTGAAGCAGAAGAACATGTTAAATGTGCCCATTGTTTATAACATATACACATGATAGCATTATGGTTATGTTTTACAACTTTTTTACAAGAGATACATGGGTATTTAATCATTTAAAGTAAAACAAAAAAACATAAGTTTTGTCAAAAGTGCGTACCTCACAGTCTGTCGAGATCGTTCAGGGTTCTGACGGACACGACCGCGTTGTCTTTGGTCAGTGCACGAATTTTCCCATCAATCGTCCATGCCTTCGCAATCGATGGGCATTTGAGTGTCTCTCTCATGATTCGTTGGCGAGCGGCTGTCAGGTGTTCGCGGATGAAGATCTGTGTTTTTTTCAGCTTTGTTTTCGCGGCATAGACGCGTTGACGGACATTATATCTTGCAAACTTGATGATGAGGGGTCTTGGCTGTGGTCGGGCTTCGTCGTCCGTCGTACGTTTCTTCGTAAAGAGACGATGACTTCGATCGATGTCTGTGGCCTTCACATCGACTTCCAGCTTGTATAAATATGTACAATTGCAATATTAAATTGCCCGTATGAATTAAGTCTTGTACTTACAGCTGACATTGTAATCTAATGCGAAAACTGATATTCCATCTTCTATTGCAGTTTAGCTTTTGTTTGAATGGAATATGCGAATATCAACCATTTCGAAAACCATCACATACCCTGTCTACATATATTATATTAAAAAAAAAAAAAAAACTTTTCATGAAGTTAATATGTCAGCACTTACTATGTCAGTTTCACCTTCTTTCCCTTCTAATTTCCCGGTTCTTTCTTATTATATTATCTTTTTCGTAATTGTCTTCTGTTACACTTCCATGTCAATATACGAATGTGTTAACTAATTTTAAAATGGGAGTTCATTATCTTCTTCTTAAATACCTTTATCATTTCATGATATTCTCTCCTTCTTCTTACAACCGTCCCTACTTCTCTGTTCTTTACCTTGCATCGGCTCTTTTCCTTTCTCTCTATATTGTTCTCCTTCCTCTGACTCATTTCCTTCTCTCCTAACCTTGATCTACTGTCATTCTTCCCCTTTCATACCTTTTCCCCTTTTATTCTTTCTTAGTGCTCATGCTATAGGTTAGTTTACGTTTTAATGTATAAGATGTCAACGACTGTGTATATATTTATCACTTATGTATTCCGATTATTACTGTTTTTGTGTTTACATATGTATTTTCTATTCCTTGCAAAAAAGATCCCATGTAACATTTCAATGGTTTTACCTTGGAAAAATACAAATGGAACCACATTGAATCAAATTGAATCGTATTAAATCGAAATTAATATACACTGCATTCATATAAAAGAAAAAATGTGATGGTAATTATTAATGTGACGATATGTAAAATTGATGGAGGATTTGATTTCTAGCATTCATT